ATAATAATAATAATAATAATAATAATAATAATAATAATAATAATAATAATAATAATAATAATAATAATAATGTGATTTATTATCTCCGATCCATTTTAATTTTATATACCAAGTCAATCCTTACAAACACTGACATACATGTCACAGTCCACATTAGTCATTACAGGAACATACAACACAACGTATCCAACAATTCAATTGTATATAAAACATGAGTAAGTGCTACGACTGATACTGCTAATTAATTGTATACCAAGTCAATCCTTATGTATACACAGCTTCTAACTTAATCTAAAGATGTTGTGTGCACATGCATGTAAATATGTAATATCTTTTTGTTCAAATCACATGTAATATCTATTATACTACCTCGTATTCTTTTTAAATGTCTTTTTGGCTTTATCAACTATTAACCAAAATAAATGTCGTTTTGGATCTTTTGTACATATTTTTCCATTATTACCCTCATTTAGTTAATAAATACACTATGTCTTTTCATATTCTCTTCATCTTTTTTTTAAAACATCCATCTCTATCTTCATTAATGAGGGTTATTATTGGCAAAAAAATTATTCTTAATTAGTGTGCAACTTCCCAAAACGACACTTATTATGAATAGGAGGGAGTATAATACTAGTGTGTAGCCCGTGCTATGCACGGGTAAATAATACTAATAATCTCAACCTTCAGCGAGTAGGTTTCCCGTCTTCGGTTCTGGAAATTTGGTTAGAGCATGATATTATTGGAGTGTCGTATCCCCGTCGAGTCCTAATATAGGCTTACGGCCTCTTTCATTGTACCAAATATAATAATAATAATACTAATATTAATTATAAACTAAATATTAGGATAAGTAATATTAACTAAAATTATAAATTAAAGATGTGAGGTTACATGTGATAAAATTTACTTTATATAGTCTATTATAACAATATAAAATTATCTTATATAAAGACATACAAAAATTTATGTCTAAAATATTAAAATTGAGAGAAGATTTACATATTATATATAAAATAAATATTGAGATGATACCGAAAATTATTTCGTCATCAATTTGAGTATAAAATAAACGGAGGCTTAATAACTCCATGCTTTATGCATATGTTTCATTTATCAATTTTATATAATAATTTTAAAATCTCATTATCAAAATTTGTATTCAAATGTATAAAATAAACGGAGACTTAACAATTCTACGCTGCATATACTTCGTTTATCAATTTTATGTAATGATTTTAAAATCTCGTTGTTATTAAGAATTTTATTCAAACACGTATCAACAAAGTACACATCTTTGGGATTTATGATGAAATACGAATAAATGATTTCTTTATAAAAGAAATCCGTATTTATTTGTTTTTGAAAATGAATGCAAACTCACAGATAGTTTTTGTTCTTAACAAACTCCTACAATTCTAATTAAATCATATTATTCCAATTTGAATTTCATGATGGTTTTAAAATCTGTACACGTGGTCATAATGTATATCAAGTAAACAATCCCCATATTACAAATAAGTATTTATGTGTTTTTGAAAATCAATGCAAATTGCTTGATAGTTTTTTTCTAAGAAACTCCTACATTTCTAATTAAATTATATTATTCAATTCAATTTGAGTACGAATTTAAAATTTCAATTTGAAAGTGAATTTAAAAATCTGTACATTTGTTGATAGTCTTTCAAGTAAACATAGTCCCAATTTTTTTTTTTATTTTTTTTTCGTTATTAAGTTTTTTATTCCAACAAATGATGTGGTGAAGATTTATTAAGTGAGTACCTATGATGTATGGATTAATATCTAATGTTGTAGCATACACTTTTTTTAATTGCATAAATATAATTTTGTTTTTTTTTTCTTTACATGGACGGTATAATTAGTGCAAGTTAATTAAATGAAATTAATTTTTTAATAAAATTCATTTTAAGTTTTTTTTTTTTTTTTACTAAAATGAATGATGCAAACTCGTGCCATTTTAAATTCTCCACAATTTGAATTACTCCTTAACTTTTGAATACTGCTAAATTTCATATCTATCATTATTTATGCGGGCAATTGTGTAGAAAAGTTATTAGAAAATTGTTAACATTTGAATTTGAATTAAAGATTTGCATGAAAATTATTAGGAAATTGTTAACAATTGAATTTAAATTAAAGATTTATTTTATTTTATTTTTTTCTATTTTCCCTATAAGTTCGTTAAAACAACCATATTTTATTTAAACTTCTATCCCTTCCTTATTTAGAAATTTTTAAATTTGTTTTGCTTGCTATATTTAGTAAATAGTAATTCTTTTTATATAAGTATAAATTTGCATTTTTTTGCATTACCACTGTAATTCAGACATAACAGCAATTCGAATAAAAATATTTTTATACAAAGGATTAAAAAATGATGTGTGTGTTTTAAATTTTAATAGTGGCCATGGTGTATAAAGTAACATAATCGCAATACATGTTATTATATCAAATTTTATGTTACCTTTCCTAGTTACTGTAACATGATTTTAAGGTCGAATTAAATCATTGTTCATAAAAAATAAATATATTATCCGAATGTTAGATATTATGCTCATATCTAATAATAGCCCAAATAATTTACGCTGGCGATCGTTAGATTAGCTAACAAATATTCATACTTTTTTTTTAAATAAATATGCATATTTTATAGCAAAATATTATATTTAAAAAATTTAAATAAAAATATCACTACAAAAAAATTGTTATATTACAACGGAAAATCCTATGGTAATATATTTCAATGAAAATTCCAACGGATATTCAAATGGTATAACTTTCGTTGGAATAATTCCAACGAAAATATTCCGTTGGAATGTATTTTTCATTGGAATTTTAGATGTAATTTGATAATTCCAAAGGCTTTTGACCGTAGGAATTTCTGTTGGAATATGCAATTTCCGTTGGAATTTTTATTTTCCCAGTTGTTGAAAAATCTACCGTTGAAATCGTCAAAATCCAACGGAAATTCCAATGGAAAACTCATTGTAATGGAATATTTTTGTTGGAATTTCCATTGGAATTATTCCAACGGAAATAATAGCATTGAAATATTTATTGGAATTGTCGTTGGAATTCTATTGAAATATATTTCCGTTGGAATTTCTTCATTTTCTTGTAGTGTATATTATTTCAAATATTAATATAATTCTCACAAATATTTGTATAAGACAATCTATTAGTTAGAACAAAACATCATATTTTTACTTATTGATTATTAAAGTAAAATACTTTAATTTAGAATTATAAATATGTAATGGAAAATATAAATGTTTATTTTTAGATCTGTCTAACAACATTAAGTGATGGATGACTCTATAAAAAAAACCAACCGATAGCTCTATAGAATTTTTGAACAACATATATATACTGATACTGCATATTCTTTTTCTTTAAAAAGTAAAGAATCAACTAATTTTAATGATAGACTCTATTAGCCTAGCATTTGTATAAAATCAGCAACACTTAAAGGTGAGTAATCTCCATAGGCTGCGATGCATTTACTAAAAGAAATTACAATTTACAAGTAAATGAAGTGTTAAAAGTTAAAACGTAGTGGTGGGGTCAAAATGGGAAATCAAAAGCGTGGGCAGTAGTATGAAACACGGCGACGATAAATAGACAGACAAATGAAGAAGTTTGTCCGTTTGTTGAGGTGGGACACCATTATCGTTGGCCACCCAATTTCAAGCAAATATCATTTAGTCCAACCAAAATATACCCTCTTCTACGCATTTTCCATTCTGTTTCCTAATTACACTCTCTAATCTCTCTCCTCTCTCTCTCTCTCACTAAGGAAGCTGTGTTCTGCTTTCCTTCTGCTGTTTCCTTGATTCAATCTGATCGCTTACCAAAAGGACTGCCCACGTTTTAGGGATTTTCCTTCACTTTTCTGTTTTTTCTTTTTGTTCTAAATTGTTTTTTAAATTTGTTTATATTTGTGGACTGTGGAGGAGTGTTTCTGAGGCCCCATTTTGTTTTTGCTCTGTGTTTGGAGCTGAAATTCATGGGAAATTGCGTAGGGTCATCAGCAAGAGTAGATGCCACTCTCAGCACCGCATCTGGTATTTTATACTTCAATTTCTTCTTTCTTTTTTCTAATCCTCTTTCGTATATTTGAGAAATTTGTGTTCTGGCTTCTTGTTTCATGAATATTTGAACTGGAATGGATTAAAATATAGCTCTGCGTTGTTCTTTGTTATTTCCCTGTAATTTCATGGCGTAAACCTCGTCTGGGTTGGATTTTCCACGGGTTTAGCTTACAAGGATGATGTTGTTTCTTTCTCTCTTTTTTGGACTGTAATTTTATGTTCATTTGGAAAAGAGCTCTGATTTGTATATCTGGGGTTGAGTGATGCCTATAGTGATGTTTTGCTTCATTTGTCCATTGCTATTTCTAACCATAAATATTGGAGCTTTGAATCTGCATTTATAATTTATATTGTATATTCTTCAAAGGGTAGTCTGTTTGGTTGGAATGATTCTATAACTGATTTTAGTCTAAACTTTCTTGTTGCTTACATGTTTAACTAATTGCTATTTATAAGAAATGAAAAAAAAAAGACAAACTTCTGCAGTATATCAGTATCCTTTTATGCTTGCAGATTCCACTGCTTTCTTTATGCTTGCAGATTCCACTGCTTTCTTATGCTTAATTATATGAGTAATGCTATAGAGCCTACTTGGATGACAACTTGGGTTACAACTTAAGTGTAAATCTATTATTTTTTACTTTTTTGATAATGCATTTACACTTGGATTGTAACCCAAGTTGTCATCCAAGTAGGCTAAATAGCACTACTCTAAATATATATCTATCTCATTTTAGATTCCATTGAGCGTGATTGAGGGCACACGCCGCCTTTTATTTTTATGTTTCATTTAACGTTGTGTATAACTGGCAGATTACATAGAAAGTGTTTGTAGATTACATAAAGCACCATTCCTAATTAAGCAGTAAAGACAATCCAGTTTCACATTCCCTGGTCTTCTTTTGCCAAAAATATCATCAATTTTCAACTTATATGTACTTGACCTGTTGATTTCATTTCATTCGATTTTATATATTTATTCTGCCTTTCTTCATTATTAGGAGCATCACGATACCCGAGCAAAAACAGCAGCTCATCTGTACCATCCAACATAACTATTCCCTCATACAGCGGCAAAAGCAGTGCCGAAAGCTTGCCGACCCCAAGATCGGAAGCCGAGATTCTGTCATCACCACATGTCAAGGCCTTCACTTTCAATGAGTTACGAAGTGCAACCAAAAACTTTAGGTCTGACAGTCTTCTTGGTGAAGGAGGATTTGGGTATGTTTTCAAAGGGTGGATTGATGAGCATACCCTCACAGCCTCAAGGCCTGGATCTGGTCTGGTAATTGCTGTCAAAAAGTTGAAGCCCGAGGGCTTTCAAGGCCACAAAGAGTGGTTGGTATGTTTTTCTTCTTCGTCTTCTTTTTCTTCTTATTATTTTTTTGACGGTTATTTACCCAAAGCAAAATCTATGAGGTTTAGAATCTCATTTTGTAAGGTTACTAGTTCTCCCTGGTGTCTGAAATATTCAGACGGGAGTATAGTACTGTTGCAAGCAGGTTATGAGGGCATAGTTTTTTAATTATGTAAATTTAACTTTGCTTAATTTGAGTACTATTGTTAGCTTTTTGAGAGCATGGGATGATTTGCAGACAGAAGTTAATTATTTGGGGCAACTTCATCACCCGAACCTTGTAAAACTTATTGGCTATTGTTTGGAGGGTGACAACCGGCTTCTGGTGTACGAGTTCATGCCCAAAGGAAGCCTGGAGAATCATTTGTTCAGAAGTACGTGTTTTCTGATAGAATTTTTACTTGTTGAAGTGGTGGTTTCCTTATATTTCTTTGTATAAGATAGCTTCTCAGTTGACTTGTCACTTTATGTCTGGCATCTCATGATATTATTTTTTCATTCAATATTTAGTCGTCGACTCGGAATGAACTTTGTGCTTCCAGTATTAAAAAAAGGAGTTTTCTTTTTACCCATTTTCATTCATTATTTTTCAAGAATGCATTCCTTGGCATAATATCATTGATCATTTTAATCTTCCATGCTGCCTACACATTTCACTACATGATAGCTGCGTTCTATTATCCTTAGAAATATCTCAAAAAGTGATAAATTTCAGAACCTATTAAGAGTTTATTTCTGAAAGAATATTTAGCAGACATTAAAGTTGCTTTTTCTTCCAGGAGGAGCCCAACCTCTGACTTGGGCTACTCGAATAAAGGTAGCAATAGGCGCTGCCCGGGGCCTTTCTTTCTTGCATGAGGCTGAAGAGCAAGTTATATACAGAGATTTTAAAGCTTCGAATATTCTTCTTGACGGGGTATACTCATATTGACTGCTCACTTTTGAGTAACTTCTAAACCAAAGCAATTTTTCTTGTTAAAGTACGAAATTCAAACATAACTGTTCCCATTTGACACTAACAACTAACAAGTTCCATCTCGCTCTACAGGAATTCAATGCAAAATTGTCCGACTTTGGTTTGGCCAAAGCGGGCCCCACCGGCGACAGGACACATGTATCAACTCAAGTTATGGGCACTTATGGGTATGCTGCCCCTGAATATGTTGCCACAGGTCAGACACTTGAGACATATTCTCTCTTTGTATGGTTTTCACACTTTCACACACAAAATCTTTCTACACAATCTTCTGTCATACCATTTGATATGGAACCAGTTCCTTTTAACTGAATCAAAAGATACTTCTCATAGTCACCAAAAAACAGAAACAGTCAAACACTTAAAAAAAAACTAAGCGAACTAAGAGGATAAAAAGCGAAACCTCATAAAAAAAAAGGATGAAACAATAAATAAATTATTTCCATTATTCAAGAAAATTTCCATATCCAATCGCACATAAAAAGATGATGACGAATACTAGAAACCCAAAATTCAAAAAAAAATAAAAAATCCAAAACCCCCTAAAATTGACAAAATACGTTCTCTATGGTGGTTTGATAAAGTTTTTGTCATATCCTCTTTTGTTTTATATTTCGTTCACTTTTGCCCAGCCGAGACTGACTTTGTCTGCACTGTATGGCCTCAGGTCGACTAACTGCAAAAAGCGACGTTTACAGCTTTGGGGTGGTTCTGCTGGAGCTGCTGTCCGGGAGGCGCGCGGTGGATAAGAGCAAGGTCGGGATTGAGCAGAATCTGGTGGACTGGGCAATGCCGTACTTAGGGGACAAGCGGAAGTTGTTTAGGATAATGGACATAAAGCTCGAGGGCCAATACCCTAAGAATGCCGCCTTCACGGCTGCCACAGTGGCCCTGCAATGCCTCAGCCATGAGCCGAAGATGAGGCCTCGCATGGCTGAGGTCCTGGCCACGCTCGAGGACCTCCAGCAAGCCTCCAGAAACTCGAGCTCAAGAGCCTCGAGTGGAAGAACGCCTCTGGCGTCGCCTACGCCAGCTCATCGGAGGGCATCTGCCAGTGCCAGGCGGTGAGGGTGAAATGCAACATTTTTTTTTATTCTCTTTCTT